CTAGCACACCTGTACGTACGGAGGGAACACACACGTTAGGCCGCTAGCACACCTGTACGTACGGAGGGAACACGCACGTTAGGCCGCTAGCACACCTGTACGTACGGAGGGAACACATACGTTAGGCCGCTAGCACACCTGTACGTACGGAGGGAACACACGTTAGGCCGCTAGCACACCTGTACGTACGGAGGGAACACACACGTCAGGCGGCTAGCACACCTGTACGTACGCAGACCAACCAACTAAAAAACAAAACCGTAGAAGGTAGCCGCCCACCCCGGGTGACCGTTTCCGCAGGACTCCCCCTCCAGGCCGGCGCACACCTGACAGCCACACATGCTGGTGACCAGCTCACAGTCGGTGGGAGGCGCGGGGCACGGGTTGGTGAGGGACCCGGGGCTCACCAGACAGGCGATGGACAGGGAAGCGGACCGGTGCACCGCCAACAGGAGGAGGAACAGACTCACGAGTGCCATATTGTACTCCTGTGTGTCTCAGACTGAGGGTGGGAAAGTTGGTCCCCTGAACAGGTGACTGTACGGAGGTGCGACCGGTTGTGTAAATGGACTTAACGACTCTACAACCAAGGACAAAGTAAGACGTATGTGTCCGCTTGTTGTATCCATATTTCCTTGTGTAAAATTCTATCCAAAGTATGCCATATTACATCCTACTGTTGATAACTGACAACTGTTGTGACCTGATAGCGATGCTGTATGCCTCATAACCAGGTCATGGCTGCATGCAGCAGAGAGCAGAATCCTGCGAAGCTATCTAAAGTCATCCGAAATGGGAAAATCTAAATACGTAATTATTATCCCTTGTATTGTGAAAGCTATGACAGCAACAATAACATAGATCCAGTCAAACCTGGGAAAGCTTGCTGTGAGTACAAAACAAGCGCGAAAAAAGGAATGTCCTCGGGCGATAATTACACTATAATTATGTGCCTACATGGTGTCAGTCACCGGTGCACTTGCAGAGTGAGTTCACAGTTTGCCACTGTCAGTAACCTCCCTCTGTATGGATATACAAAATTATGGCGGTTAACCTGATACTCACTCTTCTGATTAGTGTCTACGTCGTCTTTAGTCGGACCAGATTAGCGGAGGGTTTCGACGTTTCCGTGCCTGAAAATGCCAGAGTCGGGACAGAGGTTGTCGGTGAGGAACACTGGCCGGCTACACAGAAAGCGGAACTTCCGTGTGTGAAAGCGGAGGGAGATCCGTACGACAGGTTCCTTCTGACCGAGGAGTGCGCCCTTGTGGTCGCCAACCCCCTGGACTGGTCAGTACAGCCGGAATATAACATCAAGATTCTCGTCGGGCGTCGCCGAGAAGTCACGAATGTGGCGATACAGGTAACCGACGTCCCGGGCTATCCTCCCGTGTATAACGAGACGTGTGAAACTCCCATCAACCCCACAAGGAGGATACTGAGGACACTGGAGAATTTTTACTCAGGTTTGGCTTAGAAGTGGAAGCCGAGACAGATAGTGGAGACATTCTAGCTACTCGAAGGACATTAAACAAGCTGCCCAGGAAACGGAATGGAAAGGAAACTAGTACTAACATTCCACTGGTCTACCCAGAAAACGGTAATTGTCAATTTCAGACGATAGTTGTTGTACGTTCCCTGAATGATTTAGTAGCTGCAGACCAACTGTGGTCCGGGAAGTTCCGTCAGTTGTCCTGCCGTGCAGACGGCAGCAATGCTGAATTTTCTATTCACATTTTGTCTTATACATCGATGGGTGATTTGATTCGGAACTACGTCAGGGAGCGATTCACTGGCCACCTCAACTTCATCTACATGCTATCTTTAACATTCCCGGCAAAGAGCACAGAACGCTTTATCTGCCAGTTTCCCCCGTTTGGAAAACCGGTCAGAATAAGCACACCTCCAGACCCGACCAGACTTGTACACGTGCAGTCATCAGACGTAGAAATCCAGCCGCAAGGTTGTCCTATTGGGAAATACGGCTTTCTCTGCGATAAAACCTGTATCTGTAAGAACGGCGCCCGCTGCCACGGGTTTAATGGCGCGTGTAAATGTCAACGCGGCTGGCAAGGTGTAGCCTGTGACATTCCTAAACCTGACATCGCCGCAACAACGACCCCTAGCGGTTTGCGGGGTATATACATTTCCACCAACGTGACGTTTCACTGTCGTGCGTACCACTTTGATGTTGAATCTTTGTCGTTGTGGCTTCCAAATGGATCTGAAATCATGAGTAAAGGTGTCAATCAACTAGACATAATGGTTTTCAATGCACAGTTACACGACGAAGGTCGCTATACGTGCCGGGCCAGAGACAAAGGCGGAAAGGTTTTCATTGCAACAATTTTGTTAAACGTCAACTGCCCATCAAATAGTAAAGGCGAACTCTGTGATGAATCGTGTGATTGTCTACAAGGTGCCCGCTGTGACCGGTGGGCTGGTTGTGTCTGTCCGCCGGGATGGACGGGAACCAGGTGTCGGACACAATGTCCGGAGGGCAAGTACGGTAAAGACTGTAAAAATACCTGTACCTGCCAAAATGGGGCGAGCTGTAGCCCTAGCGACGGCAGGTGTAACTGCACGGCCGGCTGGTACGGATCGAACTGCGCCGGACTCTGTCCCAAAAGCAGGTACGGTTGGCGGTGCCGGCAGGTTTGCAGCTGTCAGAACAACGCCACCTGTCACCACGTGGACGGCAGCTGTGCGTGTGTGCCGCCGTGGGGAGGGAGGAACTGTAACAAGCTTCACGTCGCTCAGGACACGTCGCTGATCGAAATCCTTGTTCCTCTGGGCTCCGTACTCCTAGTTGTTACCGTACTAATCGTGCTCTACAAGACTGGCTGCTTCGTGAAAAACGACGATCATGAAGCCGAAGTTCTGCGTGAGCTGAGGAGAATGGAGCGGGACCTAGCACAGAGTCTTCAACCGGGCTGGCTCAGACGTTGGGAGAAGAAGATCCACCATCTTACTCTTGGTCCTCTGATAGGAGAAGGGATATTTGGGCAGGTGATACAAGCGCAGCTTCGCACACCGAAAGGGGATATCGTCGTGGCTGCAAAGACAGTCCGAGCAGAAGAGGCACAGTCCTACCGAGACTTTTATCGGGAAGCAGCTATATTAGTTGTCGTACATGAAGAGAAAGACCACGACGTTCGCAGGTCAAACATTGTCCAACTTTTAGGAATAATCACCACGTCTAAACAAAAGTATATTTTGCTAGAATACTCCCCAAAAGGAGACCTTTCGTGGGTCCTTCGACAGGTTAGAGACGAAGACGATCAGGCCGCCCTGTTTGATCTTTTTCTCCGATACGCAGTGCACGTGGCACGCGCGCTGGGAGAGCTTGAACGTCTGCGCATTGTGCATCGCGATGTGGCCGCCAGGAACGTTTTGATCACGGCGGACGATGTGGCGAAGTTAGCTGACTTTGGGCTGGCACGAGACGTGTACACCGCTGCTGATTACGTCTCTGCGAGTCATGACGGATGTAACAAACTCCTTCCGCTGAAGTGGATGGCGCTGGAGTCCATCGAGACGGGCGAGTACACCTGTCAGAGTGACGTCTGGTCCTTCGGCGTGCTGCTGTGGGAGATCGCCACGCTGGGACAAGATCCGTGCTACGATGGCAGGGTTCATCTGAGTTTTCTTCAGATGGTAGGGATTCTGAGGCAAGGCATACGGATGACGAGGCCGCCGGGATGTCCTGAGGACCTGTACCGACTGATGAGGGCGTGTTGGCGCGACGTACCTGCTACAAGACCGACTCCAGACGGGATAGAACAGAGTCTGTTGGAGCTGCTTCCACGTGAAGTCATTGAAATGGAGACTACCTTGTAAACATTAATATTCTTTATAGATCTGGAAATGAAAGGGCATATCGTCAAAAAAACCTACCGTAAATCCCCTTGAAGAGAAAGATATCACGATATTTTTGGCAAACTAGGTCCAGAACATCGTTGGAACTCAGCCCAAGGCGGGTCACCACCGGTAACGCCGTGTGTAAGCTGGAAATTCAGACATGATGGTGCTTGGCACAAGGGCGTCCGCGGTTCTGTTTATCTCTCTGTTTATCTCCAATTTCTGGATCGAACGTCAAATTCGCGCAGGCGCACTAGTAATTGCGAAAGGGCTTAATAAGAAATGGAGACTGCGCTGTAGACATTCTAGACTTTGAAATTGGAACAATGGTATAGACATTCCATCTCTGCACATATTTAGACATAGGCTATCATATACATGTACGTATACACGATTGATGATGTCTTAGCAAGTTGTAATTTTGTGTATCTGGTCCTGGCGATCTGCAGCCCCGCAAACAAACTAACTGCAGTACCATCTGCTAGGTCTAGATGGCGTTGCAGGATGAGTGAGATGTTTTCACTGGTCCTGTCTCGCTATATCCGCGCCATGAGTCTTTATAAGTCGTAATGTTCTTAAAAACTACTGGCTTCATGACTGGATCAAACCAGAAATGTTGAGCAGATCATAGGGTGCTTACAGTCACGGCATGTCGCAGATACAAGTCGTCATAAATAGTAATGTTGATCGGGCTTCACTAATACAAAGTTGAAATGTTTACTAATATATTCATAAATGCGAAAGTTCAAAGGACTGTTGGTTCCACTATCTGTCATTTACCCGACTCTTCACTCCTTCCCAAGGTATTTGTATTTTGTAGCATATTTTATAACAACACCTGATGTATCCGGACAACACGGCCGGTCTGCTCTGCTCCGATGAACCCGTGTCCGGACCAGGGGTGACAGACGGTTTCTCCACTGTTCCATTTGACCTTCACCACCTGCCTGGTGGGGTGGAGTTTGGTTATCACGTCCCCTTGGGAAGTTCAAGCAAGGAGATAATGTGATCATAACAGCCCTTATCAATTGATGATAACGTTAGAAGCTGTTGCCTTCAAACTTTGTCTTACGGTGCAGATGTGGAAGGTTACTGTTTAATTCAATGTTGTAGGCCTCAGCAGGGCTCTGGTGCTACAAATTGGCGTGGAATGGATTACTTCCTCCGCAGTGGGCATAAATAATGGAGTAACGTCATTACGCAGAGAACTCCGCCGTCTGGGAAGTTGGCTGGACTGTTCTCCCCTATCTGTAGTTTGAATGGATTGGTAAATGATAGATATGGTGCACGTTAAAAACTTTAACACGCTATGGCTAGAGGGCAAAAAGTAGCTAGGAAGCCTTCAATCACTCCTCTTACCTTATCCACATATGAGAACGTGGGAACATCAGCAGATATGTAAATAACTTAATTTGCATAATTGATTACCGGATACCGCATTTGGAAGTAAGTGAAGGTGAACATTTAATATAACTTATTGAGACCAGAACCGCATTTACACAACCTTCTTTTTTAAGATAAGGGTGTCATTGGGCGGATTACATGATCAATGGCAACTCATGTAAAATGAGTATGTTATTTGCGTAATCAATGAGAAACATTTATAATTCGTCAGTCGTAAATGCTAACATCATCTGGCGAAGGTATGAGCTCGTTGAACTCTTGTTCTGAATATGATCATTAGAATCGAAGATCTGATCATGAGTGGTACCGCATACAGTCTCCAAGGATGAGGATTTTCGAAAGATTTTCTCATGCTAAATAAAGTCATCCTCCCTTCCCATGAATACCGCAGGGTTTCTACAGCTACCGAGCAGAACACACTTTTCTTACTCAGAAAATCGCAGAAATGAAGAATAATTCCCGGTCATTACACAGAAGTTCCATGATACTATGTAAGGACGTCATAATTTATCATTGCACACAAGGTGGTGGACACAGTCGACAAAACGACGCTGCATATTGGTTGGGAAATACTTTATTCTTCCGGAAAATTAACATCATGAACAATCAATAATCAGCACCGAACTACCTGCTTACTAACCTGCCTATAAACGTTTTTTTTACTCTGTAGCTAAATGTCTATAAAGTCTGAACCATAAGGCCATTCTAAAGAACTTATTCCACCCTCCAGTGCGTGTTTCTTGAGTCCTC